GGAATGTTCTGGACTCCTATATTTTGTATTTAAAATAATTTTCGAGATTTTTGTGGTCTTCTGATTTTATTATTTAATTTAAAAAACTTCAGGGGCCCCTGGTGTTTTGTTTTAAACGAATTTGAAAGAATCTTGACATTTCTTTAAAGAATCTTTGAGGCCTTTTTTTTAAGATATTTTAAAAAATCTCACAGGTCTCAGGTGTTTCATTTTTGGGAGAACTTTAGATCCTAGGAGCGAGTTGTATTAAAAAAAAAAAAAAACAAAGGATATTGGGTGATTCTTGTGTTTTTTTTTTTATTTAAACACATCTCGGAGGTTCTTAGTGTTTTGATTTATAAAGAATTTTAAAGAAACTTGTGGGACTTTTGTATTTTGCTTTTGAAAATGTTTTAAAGAATCACGGGGGTTATTTCGTTTTCGGAAAAAAATAAAGAATGTTCTGGACCGCTGGTGTTTTGTCTTTACAAGAATTTTCAAAAATCTTGGGGTCTCTTGATGTTTTGTTTTGAAAAAATTTAAAAATTCTCGGGAGCCCGTGGTGTTTTCTTTTTGAAGGAATTTGAAAGAATCTTGGGGATCTCTGGGGTTTTGAAAAAAAAAAAGAATTTCAAGGGTCCCTAATATGTATTTTACCTTTGGAATAATTTTCAATAATCTTGGATGCTTATGTCGTTTTTTTTGAGATTATTTAAATACATAATATCAGAGGCCTTAGATGTTTTATTTTAACAGAAATTTTAAGAATCTCGTGAGCTCTTCGCGTTTTATCTTGCAGGAATTTTAAATAATTTTAGGAGCGAGTTGAGTTTTTGAAAAAAAAAAGAATGTTGAGATTGTGATTAAAGAATCTCGGTGGTCTTTAGTGTTTTGTTTTCAAAAGAATTTTAAAGAATCTTGGGGAACCTTTGTATTATTTAGTTTTTGAAAGAGTTTCAAAGAATCACATGGGTCCCTGTTATTTTGTTTTTAGAAAAATTGATAGAATCTTCTAGACCCCTGATGTTTCGTATTTAAAAGAATTTTCAAAAACCTCTGATGTTCTGTTTATCAAAAAAAAAGAAGAATCCCGAGGGCCCCTGACATCTTTGGAAGGATTTTAAAGAATCTTGTTGATCCAAGTATGTTATTTTTTCTTTAAGATTGTTTAAACAATCCCGAGAGCCTCAGATGTTTTATTTTGGAAGAAATTTAAAGAATCTCGTGGTTAAAGAATCTCGTGGGCTACTCTTACTTTGTTTTTGAAAAAAATTTAAAGAATGTTCTGAACCCCTCGTCTTTGGTCTTTAAAAGAATTTTAAAAAATCTAGGGGTCCCTTGATGTTTCGTTTGTAAAAAATATAGAAACTTCGGTGGTCTCTATTATTTTGTTTTTTCCAAAAATTTAAGGAATGCCTGGACCCCTGTGTTTTCTGTTTAAACTACTTTTTTAAGAATTTTGGGCTCCCCTGATATATTTTTTTTTAATTTAAAAAACTTCGGGTTCTTTGTTTTTAAAAGAATTTAAATTCTGTTTTTTAAGATACTTTAAAAAATCTCAGGGGCCTCAAATGATTCATTTTTGGGAGAACTTTAGAGATCCTAGGAGCGAGTTGTGTTAAAAAAAAAGAAGGATATTGGGTGATTTCTGTTTTTTTTTTTTTAATTTAAACGCATCTCAAAGGTCCTTGGTGTTTTGATTTATAAAGAATTTTAAAGAAACATGTGGGACCTTTGTATTTTGTTGTTGAAAGTGTTTTAAAGAATCACGTGAGTTATTTTGTTTTCGAAAAAAAAAATAACTCACTCTGGTGCTTTGTCTTTACAAGAATTTTCGAAAACTTGGGGCTCCTTGATGTTTTGTTTTGAAAAAATTAGAAATTTAAAGAATCCCATTGGTTTCTGATGCTTTATTTTTGGAGGAATTGTAAAGAATTTTAGAAGTGAGTTGCTGTTTAAAAAAAAATAACAAAGAATGTCGGGAGATTTTTGTGGTTAAAGAATCTCGTAGGTTCTTTGAAAAAGTTTTAAAAAATCACATGAGCCCTGTTAATTTGCCTGTAGAAAAATTTTTAAAAATGTTTTGAAACTCTGGTGTTTCATCTTTACAAGAATTTTCAAAAATCTTCGAGTCCCTTGATGATCCGCTTTTGAAAAAATTTAAAAAATCTTGGGTGCCCATGGTGTTTTCTTTTTGGAGGAATTTGAAAGAATCTTGGGGACCTCTGCTGTTTTGATAAAAAAAAAGAATCACAAGGGCCCTTTGGAAGAATTTTTAAGAATCGTGGAGACCTATGTTCGTTTTTTGAGATAGATTATTTAAATAATTTTGGGGACCTCAGATGTTTTATTTAAAGAATCTCGTGAGCTCCTGGTGTTTTATCATTTGAGAAATTGTAAATAATTTTAGGAGCGAGTTGTATTTTTGAAGAAAAAAATGTAGGAGATTCTTGAGATTAAAGAATCTCGGTGATCTTGGTGTTCCGTTTAACAAAAAACAAAAGAATCTCAAAGGACCCTGATACCTTTGGAAGATTTATGACTTTTTCTAAGATTGTTTAAATAGCCCCGGGGGCTCCAGATGTTTTATTTTGGAAGAAATTTAAAGAATCTCGTGGGCTCCTGTTATTTTGTTTTTAAAAAAAATTTAAAGGATGTTTTGAACCCCTCGTGTATGATTTTTAAAAGAATTGTCAAAAATCTTACGAGTTTGTTTTGTCAAAAATTTAAGTAACGAATTCTGAATTTTAAGGGGAGTTGTGTTTTTGAAATAAAAAGTATATTGAGAGATTCTTGGTTCTTTTTGTAAACATTTTGAAGAATCTCGGAAGTCGTAGGTGTTTTATTTCAGAAAGAATTTTGTGTTCTGTTTTTGAAAAAGTTTTTCAGTCCAGTATTTTGTCTTTAACAGAATTTTTAAAAACCTTGGATGCCCTTAGTATTTTGTGTTTGAAAACCTTGGGAGCCTCTGGTATTTTGTTTTTGAAAGAATTTTGAGGAATCTTGGGGACCTCTGGTCTTTTGTTAAAAAAATAATTCAATGATCTAGGCGGTTTCTAGTGTTCTTTATATTCTAAAGAATCTTGGGAACGAGTTGTATTTTTGAAAATAAAATTAAATAACAGTAAAAATGTTTTAAGAATCTCGGTGCTTAGTGTTTTAGAACCTTATAGGCCCTGTTCACTTTATGCTTGAAAAAAATTTAAGGAATGAATGTTTTGGGACCCCGGTGTTTTGTCTTTAAAAGAATTTTAAAAAATCTTGGGGTCCCATGATGTTTTGTTTTTGAAAAAATCTATATGTAAATAGGAACATGTCATTATGTGGCGCCAGTAATTTTTATTTCCCGAGCGTATCTACTGTTTCCGTCTGTCTGTCGTCTGTGGTCTGTCGTTTATTGGTGATATTATTTGTCTGGTTATACCCTCAAAATTTTGCAAAGTAAATCGTATTTAAATTTTATAAAACAACATAAGTCTATGCCTGCGCTCTATGAATCCATGTAAAATATTATCAAACTAAAAAAATGAATGAAGGAATTTATTTTATCAATTACCCAAAAACGGCTTACCTCATTCTCCCAAAATTTTGTAAATTACAACCTTTCCAGAAAAATGATCTAAATTCGTCGAGAAAGAGCTTGTTTGTTTTTAAGAAATCGTTAAATTGTACTTAGGTTAAGTTATGCATATTTCAGTATAACTACACCACTTAGATGCAAATTTTAAGTTATATCACAGTCATTTGTTTAAAATAAATATCATTATGGTAATAATCATCGTAGTAAAAATCTGTGCTCCATAATTCACTCGTGCACCGCAAATAAATATTGGTTAATATTAATCCCGTACCGATCTAAAAATCAGGTGAATTACATTTTGCATGGCTTTGATGACCTTCTTTTCATTTTTTATTGAAGAACTTCACGACTGAGTAACCAAATTAGAGACACTTTGGCCTATAGTTTAAAACTGAAATAAAAATAAAAATAAGTAATTTTTCCAGTCAACTAGGTACTTAATTAGTGTTAATTGAAGACTTGCGGAAACAATCTCAACGGCCGGGAACTTAAGTTATTTGTGATTGTGTTCGTGTCCAGACGTAGATTTCAATGTCGTTGCGCTACGAGTAGAAGGACAAATTAAAATTTATGAAATGAGGCGTTACAAACGAAAGTGTTCTGCTCAAGTTTTTAAAATCCTTAATACGTATTTAACAGTGCTTCATTGTCAGACTGAAATTTTGATGGTCGTACTGCAGCCAGGTATGCATTTTTAACTTTTTACAAAAAAAAAAATGTATTAGTAAATACTAAAAGTGTGTTAACAAAGGGAAACCTATGTCGCCTTGATGTCATTCAGTTGACCAATTTCAACGTCCTCTTCTGTCAAAATTTACTAAAATAGTTGCATTAAAGAAAATGCTTGTTACATGACGTTAATTATTTAAAAACACGCATGTCTTGATAATCTTAACAACTTTTGGTTGGAGTAATTAAGTTTAAATAAAGTTAGGAGAAAAATAAACAGTGTGTAAATTTTTTTTTTCATTTCGAAAAAAAAATGTAAGTATTAAAATTAACTTGTATAATTGTGCCAATAACATCGCGTGTGTCTTCCAGGTGCACGCCTGTAAGATCGAGGTCAGAAATTATTGCTTGATGATTAAAAGAATGGAGAAAAAACTAATAATCATAATAATTCAAACAAAAAAGTAATATAGCGTTTCGTGAGAAATCAATCCTTAAATAGCAGTAGCAAATAAAAAATTGCTCGTGCATAATTATTAATTATGTATCTCTTGCATGTATCCCGTGACAAAGTTTAAAAATATTTGTTCCAATTAGTCAAAATCATAATTTCCTTCATTGTAATGATGTTTTGGAAACTATATAACCTCGTCAACCGGTATTTTCCACGAAATGTGTAAAATACCACAACGAAACTTCAGAAGCGGGTAGAACATAGAATAACCAACTTTCAGAGTGGGTGGGAGTCCGGCATTCACTACATCAAACCGGACTCCTGAAGACCTATTGCAGTGCAGAAGGCGAAGCTGAACGCAGGCAAAGTTCACCGATTGGGGATTACTAGTGGTTGCGGTAAAAAGTGGTCAGTGATAGTTGGGAAAATTGCAACGCGTAAGTGTTAAAATCAGTTTCATACTTCTTTAAACCAAAAAAGATTGCCAAAAATTATTACAAATATGAATCTTCCGACAAGAGGTCTCCACCGGTAACTGGAAGTCATTAGCGCGGAATTTCCGCTGGACTTTCAGCGCAACGGTCACTCCACAAAGCTTTCAGTTTTTTAAAGACTTAAGTTACTAAATTAGCGCGAATTTTTTACTTAACTTGCATCGGAAAGTGTTTGAAATTTCATGCGCTGACATTGAAGTACCTCTCAGACGAAGATAAAATATCTCATTGTCCGGTTGAGTTCCAAGCCAAACCTTGACATTGATATTGCCAACGAAGCCAGTCATACTTTGGTAATTCGCGTTACACCTGATTTAAAACCGATTTAAGGAACATAATAGACGATTCATGGAAAGAAACAAATTTGCGAAAAAAATGAATAAGGTGCAGATTTTTTGTGTGTCCTTGAAATAAACACCTTTTTTCTGAGTCGAGACAATTAACGTGCATTGTTAGAAAGGATGCTTGTCTGCAAAGGATAGTTATAGTTTATGATTCATTCGTTAAACAAGAGGAAGCAGTTTTTTCAAGCGGGTTATTTTGTTGAGGAGTCGGTTCCTAAAAGCAATTTATTTCTAATTTCCTCGGGTCTTCCCGGCATATTTTGAATATCTCAATTTAGTATTTTGTTGTTGACAGTGTCTACGGTGACATTATTGGCACACTAGTATTAATTTTAATATACTAATTAATTTTAAATTTAATTAATTTTAAATTTAATTATTTTATAAAAAAATTTTAGTATCGTAGTTAAAAAACGAACTGAGAAATTCAAAATTTATCCAAATGTCATTGTGCCAAAATATTAAAAAGTGCGGTTAATTTTATCAAAAATTAAAAATATGTTGCATCCTAATAAAAGTGTTAGAGCTTAATTATTGATACTTCAAAATGCAAATTTCTTTTCAAATACGCACAACCTTGAATAAGAGTCGAATCGATTGTATTTTACTTTGTGCATCTCTAACAACAACTGAAACTAATAAATTAAATACAACAATGTTATTTTAATTAAAATAGACAGGTCAGACTTCGAAAGCCTCACAGAGCTTATTACGTGAACAAAATTATTGATCTTTCACGGGTTTTGTGGACGACCGTTTCGAGCTTGAAATTTCGGAAATCATAAAGTTAAAATTTAAATCGATCTATATTTTTATAAGGACGTTTAAATACGGTAAAATTGATTGTTATAATTTATTCTAATATCAAAAATTCACCACCTGTTCAATTTAATTATTCTACGAAGTATGAGAACTTCCTGTAACGAATTGTTAATTTGAAGTATAAAAACTAAAAGAAACCGTCTATGAAGATGAAATGAAACATAACCTTACATTATTTCACACTAGAATAAATCAAATTTTTTTAGTTTCTAGTTTACTTAATAATTTAATATTAATCAAATATTTTAAACAGCTTTTCTTCCAAATAAAACTGTGAGAAGAAAACTGTTGTTAGCTTGTCAGCTCTTTTAGATTGTGTTTTTGCAGCTTGTAATTGATTTAAAGTTTCTACGAAACCTAGAGATGTCTGAGTTCCTTTTATTTTGATAATGAGTCAAAATGTTTCGAACTGACATCACAAAACCCACAGGATTATTTCCTGATGACGTATAATGTCGAAACGTTGAAATGGTTGGGAAACCAGTGCTGATTTTTTTCAATTTTTCGCTTCATCATTCATTTAGTTCTGAAGACAGGAAGTGCGTCAGTCTCCAGAAACTATCTCGGTTAGAAAGTCATGGTGTTATTAAAACGTTTAAAAACAGGATGAATGATTTTAATTTTTCGATTACGTCACGTGGTACAATTAGTCAGACAGTGCAAAAAATGTTTAATTTATAATTCAGTCTTACCAATAATTTAATTTGTATCTATTTCTGAAAATTAAATGAATGTCAAACGTGAACAACGTGGAATTAAATAACAAAGATTTTTATTTATACAGGGTGAGTCACTAAGCGTGGGTTCCTTGATATCTCGATAATTATTAGACGTAGAAAAAATTAAGGATCAAAATTGCACGGTTCTTTGAAAGCTATGCTCTAAAATTAAAAAAAAAACTAGTTTATTTTTAAGCTCCGCTGCGACCAAGTTTATTGAATTTTTTTAGCAATGGGAGGGTTCACAAAAAAATCGCAATAAGGTTATTTTTAATATCTGTGTTACAATAATGTGTGGAGAGATAAATAAAGGTACGTGCTTTATTTTGTATACATTTGACTAAATTTCCATATTCAGTGGAGTTTGTGTAATTAATAGTGGTTACACGTTTTGAATTAATGACACATCATTGTATGAAAAATAAATGAGCTGTGGTAAAATACATAATTGTGGCAAATTTTACATCTGACTATTTAATTGAACTGTGCTGTCACTATAAATTTATTTCGTAATTATACAAGGTGATCACTGGAAATCGTACACTAAGTTGGTTTTGATATTTCGCAAAGTTTTGCCGCCTCGTTGTGATGATTAGTATACGACTATCACAAATGTCAGTCCTAATGTAACTTTTTTAATATGCTTTTGTGACACGAATACTTATCGAATATAACTAAAGTCACAACTGAAGTATCTATTAGAAAAAAAAAAATTATTCATTAAAATCATAAAAATTGTATCTCATAAGTTTCATTCAATTTTCTTCTCATGGTAAACCACGTTGAAAAAAAAAAAGAAAAAAATCTTAATGAAAATTTCAAAGAGGAAGAGTTTCTTAAAAAAATTTAGCATTGCAATGGAAAAAGTTAAATAACATGAGTAAAAATTATAAATAAAAAAGTCGAGTAATTTTGAAATGCTCACAAGTGTATAAATAGTTTTTTCTGGATTCTGAGAGAGTGGTTTAAAAATATCACATATAGCTCCGGTGAGGAATTTGGTTTATTTGAATATTTACTTATATTAAATGTCAACAACAATTTTCTTGGTATTTATTTTATTTTTTTAATTTAATTCGTAAAATACAAGTGATCGTAAAAGATAAGTTAAGTAGGCTTTCAAATTTCCTGAATTTTGCCGCTTCGTTGTGATGATTGACGACCAGTGGGGGCGTAGCGTAGTTTGGCACCCAGGGCGGTTTTCTATTGAGCCCCCCCCCCATATAATAAAACAACAAATTATTTAAAGGGGTTGTAGAAGAAAAATGGAGGATTTAAATTGATTACTACAAAAATTTACCATTTTAGACATGTTTCTTGTTGTCGAAGTAAGTCTACACATATTACGAAAAAAAGCAAAAGGTAGCCCCGCCCACCCGCCCTATCTCAATTGTGATGATTTTTTTTATTCGTCGTGAGCCAAGGGGACGGAGATTAATTGCAAAATCCTTAGTTCTCTATGAGAAATTAAAAACATATTTTTGAGGATCGTGTTGTTTGTTTAAAGAATACTATGTACACTAAGAAAAGACTATGTATACAAGAATTTACCATTTTAAACATATTTTAAGTTTCTTGTTCTGAAAAGACGACTACACATATTAAGAAAAAAAGGCAAAATGTAAGCCCCGCCCACCCGCCCTATCTCAGTTGGGATGATTTTTTTTAATCGTCGAGAGCCAAAGGTGCGGAATTTAAATGCAAAATCCCCATTATTTCTCTACAAGGAAATACCATGTACGACATTTTTTTGAGTATCGTGTTATTCAAAGAATACTATGTATGTTAAGAAAAAATTAAAACCAAAGATTAAGCCCCACCCATACTTGCCCTGATCTAAATAGTAATGAAGTTTTCATTCGTTGGCATAGCTAGAGGTGGAGCCTAATTGCGAAATCCAAATTTCCTTAGAAAAATTTACCATTTTAAACGTGTTTTAAGTTACTAAGAATAAAAAAATCACAATTGAGATAGGGTGGGTGGGCGGGGATTAATATTTTGCCTTTTTTTTTGATTTACATAGTATTCTTTGAACAACACGATACTTAAAAACATGTTTTTTGCCTTTTTGTTTTAATGTGTGTAAACTTCTTTTCACTACATAAAACTTAAAACATATTTAGAATGGAAAATTTGTATAAATGAATATCGATTTTGCAATAGGCTCCGCCTCATAATTGTAAAATCCACATTTCCTTGCAAAAACCATTTTAACCATGTTTTTAGTTTCTTGTTATGCAAAGATGGCCATGTAAATATATTAAGGAAAAAAAACACAGGCGGAACTTATTTGTAAACTACTTATTTTTCTACGACAAATTACCATGTCACATTTGTTCTTAAGTAATGGTGTTCTACAAAGAAAACTAAATGGATTAATTAAAAAAGAAAACCAAAAGAGAAGCCCCACCCATCCGTCTGGAACTCAACCGTGATGAATTTTTCATTCGTTGTCAGACAGAGGAGCGGAGCGTAATTGCAAAATCGATGTTTCCCTATACAAATTACAAATTTACCATTTTAAAGTTTAAACATGTTTTAAGTTTCTTATTGTGAAAAGATGACTCCACATATTAAGAAAAAAGGCAGGATGTAAGCCTCACGCACCCGCCTTAATCTCAATTGTGATGATTTTTTATTCGTCGTGAGCCAAGGGGAGGAGCTTAATTACAAAATACTTATTTCTCTATGTTTTTGAGTACCGTGTTGTTCAAAGAATACTATCTATATTAACAAAAAAACAAGCCAAAAATTAAGCCCCATCCATATCGATCCCAAGCTCAATTGTGATGAATTTTTCATTCGTTGTCAGACCGAGGGGCGGAGCCTAATTTTAAAATCGATACTTTACTACAAAAATTTACCATTCTAAACATGTTTTACCTTTTTTCTTGTGAAAAGAAGACTGCACATATTAAGAAAAATGGGCAAAATGTAAGCCCTTATAGTTACAATACCTAATTTCTTTTGGAAACGAACAGTACGAAGAAATAGGTCTCCCGTTTCCGTCCGTCTGTCTGTCTGTCTGTCTGTCTATCCGTCTGTCTACGGTCCCGATTTTTTTTGTTGACGACCACTCGTCACCTGTCACAACTGTCACTGATAACTCACCTAACTTTTTAAGTTCTTTCTATGTTTGATGTTTCTTTTCTGATACATAGTTAGACAACCAATAATTTAGTTCGAATGACAAATTGTATACCCGTCTCAACGATACGGCAAATTGTTATAATGCGGCGAATTCAGACTGGGTGAAATATTTATTTTTCAACTTTACTCATTTAAATAACCACTATAAAACAGTGAAAACTTGTATAGCTTCAACTTAAGTTCAAATAAAACTGGTTTGCTAAAATTTTTGGAAACTAATAAGATCCTTTTTTTTCCAGTTCTGCTACAAGATGTTGCAAATTTTCGAGAAGTTAGGTTTCCTGTATCAGCCCTACGTCCTTGGCATAGTATCCATCGGCTATGTCCTGGGTGAACTGGGCCACTACATGATAGGAGTGACCTCAAAAGCCATCGCCATGGATCTCCATTTCGGGGACATAGCTTGCCAACTAAACAGCACAGAATATTCCTTAAGCGATCTCCCTATCACATGTGATAAAGCAAACAGTTCGGAAGTATGTGAATCATACAACATCAATGGAACACCCTACTGCGAATGGAACTACAACGGTCTAGGACTGGACTATCAGATCCTTGCCGGCCCCAGTTTTATGGCAGTCTTCACAGTAGTAGGTGTAATCCTGGGAATCGCAGCTGACAAATACAACCGCGTTCGAATTTTGGCAGTTTGCACTGTCGTCTTCTCAATCGCTATAATTTTATGCGGAAGCGTAACCGAATTTTGGCAGTTGGTACTGTTACGAATGATAATGGCAGCAGGAGAGTCGGGGTGCAACCCTCTAGCCACCGGGTTATTGTCCGACATATTTCCTGAAGAGAAGAGGGCTTTGGTCATGTCAGTCTTCAACTGGGGGATTTATGGGGGTTACGGAATCGCGTTTCCTGTAGGTCGTTACGTGCCACCACTCAACGCTTGGGGGTTAGGATGGAGAGTGACCTACTACGGTACTGGAATTGTCGCACTGATCGTCGGTGTTCTCACCTGGTTTACTTTGAAAGAACCACCAAGGACATCTATTGGAGAAGATGCAAGCACGGGAAACACGCCTACCAAAAAAGTAACAATCTGGACGATTATCCTGGATCCGAGGATCATCATGTTGTGTTTGGCTGCTTCTTTAAGACATTGCGGAGGCATGTGCTTCGCTTACAACTGTGATCTTTACTACCAACAGTATTTCCCTGAGTATGACCTAGGTTGGTGGCTGTTTGCGGTCACTATCATCGTTGGAAGTATTGGGGTGGTTGTTGGAGGTGTAGTTTCTGACGTGTTCGTCGCCAAAATGGGCATAAGGTCTAGAGTCATGGTCCTGGCAATTAGTCAAATCATTGCCACACCTGGAGCTTTCGGAAGTGTTTATTTTAACCCAACTTGGGCGATGATCTTCTTAGGTCTTTCTTACTTCTTCGCCGAAATGTGGTTTGGCATCCTATTCGCCATCTTGGTGGAAATAGTACCCCTACATGTCCGTTCAACAACCGTTGGAGTTTTCCTGTTTGTGATGAACAACATAGGAGGAAACTTACCCATTGTTGTAGAACCCGTTTCTAAAGCAATAGGGTACAGAGAAAGTCTCTACATTTTTTACGCTGGCTTTTACGGAATAAGTAAGTTTAAATAATATTCAAGTTGACAGCGTTCACTCACACCTTTGTTGAATTCTAGGTTCCATAATGTTCCTTTTCACGATATTCCTTATGGATGGTCCCAAGCCACAACCCGAGACAGCTCCTGCTAAGGATTCTGGTCACGACAACGACATTTTCACAACGGCTGACGAAACGAATTTACCAACAATAACGGCTATGGTAGCTAACACCAAAAACAATACTCAGGAAACTAGTAGACTTTGAAAGATATACTTATTAGATTCAGATATAGATTGAACGACTGATTTGATGGTATAGTAAACTACCACTGCAAAAGTCGGTGTCTGAACGCCGTACTCATCGATAAAGACGAAGGTTCTTAAATTTTAAGTATTAATTTTAAACTGCGGTATTTGCTCTAAGGGCGAAACGAAACTGTGTGTTTTATAAACACATGAGTACGTACAAAGATTGTTAAGGTTTATGTTGTGCGAAATAAGTTAAATAAAATAATTGATTATAAACTGCATTGTTAAGTTATTATAAACCTTGATCTATGAAACTACAGGGGAAAGGTCGTTCACTGGGTACGTTTTGCTATAAGATGAGAAAACAGTGATGGTACAAATTAAGTAATTTACGAGTCATTTGTATTAAAAAAAAGTCCGAAAAAATAATAACAATAAGCAACAAGTCAACGTAATCCATATGGATTTTTCGCGAGCCTTCGACAAGGTGGGTCAAGACATTTTGCTGGTGAAGCTGCTGAACATTGGCTTAGGTCATACAGTTTAACTAATTTATATTTATTTCTCGTCAAGATTTCAGAATGTTTAACATCATGCATATGAGTCCGATAAAATCTCGGTAGCTTTAGGTGTTCCCCAAGGATCTATTTTAGGCCCTCTCCTGTCCCATATTTTTATTAACGATATTGCCAAGGACATTAAATCTAAAGTTTTGATGTATGCAGATTCGAGTTAATCTAATAATTTGTTTGTAAACTATGACAAATGCCGCATTATGTCAGTGACAAATAAGAATTATAGAATACCTTATGACTACATCTGGGTTTTTAAGAATTGATTCATTTAACAACTTGGGAATCATTTTCGATGAATGAATATAGAAAAACAGATTATAACAGCATGTATACACTATCTAAACTAAAAAAAAAACTTGATACGAGTAAATATGCCTACTTGATTAGTTTTCAACATTAAGCTTTAAGACAGAATTACATATATCAAAATTCTGACACTGGCAAACACAAGAATTGACGTTGTATTGGACTCGATACTACGGAGGCATTTCAAAGATATGCTTGTTATAGTCATGAATTGTAGTATAAACCCCTTTTTTGTATTTAGTTCATCAGAATTTTTTTGACCTTCTGGTTTTTACGTATAATAACTGAGCTCCCAAATGCAAGGATGTATACTGTTTCCAATGCATTTTGTGAAGGTAATAATTTATAGAGGGCTTACGAATTCGAATATAGTTTTGATTTTTGTCACGAAGATTCTTTACAATAATGCAATCCACTTGCAAAACTAAAAAATATCGATAATGAGGATACAGTAATGATTAATAATTACTTTATACTCAATAATGATAATCTTCCAAGGCGAAGCTCTGCCCGAATTTCTACAGAATTTTGAAGAAAGCTGGATTTAGAAAAATTTTATGACTGCCAAAGAAGTTATGTTTAGTGCTCTATGCTTGTATTCGTTCACAATGAGCATAATGCTTAGGGCATCCTTATGCTTTATGCCCATTGTGAATGAGCACTAAAACAGTAACGGAATTCTTGCTCCATAGCTGGTAAACCAAATCTATACAGAAAAGACGAAGCAGTTGTGTTTGAATTTAAATTGGGGAAAGGAGGAAACAACTCACTGGCATTTAAAATCATCCAGCTAATCGAAAGAAGTTATTCATCTTTGAATGCATCCTCTGACGTGTCATGAAAAACAGAATAACCTAAGAAGCTTTTGATTACATCTTACAATTCTCTAAGTCGATAAAACATATCGGCGGGAACGGTACTAACCAAGTAATCGACGGCCGCATTAACATTAACAACTGGTTTTTGAAGAATTCAACTCATCATCCGAGTGCAGTAAACGTCAAAATTTGAAAACGCTATATAATGCATTTTTGGCTGCGAAGCCTATGGACTATGAGCGGATGTAGACAGAATGTGTAAAAAAACTATATTTGGAAAGCTTACGTAAACTCAATTTGTATTCAAGATGAAGATCATATTCCCTCGAGGGAACAATTAGTTTCCCTACTGTAAGAGCAATATTTCTTATTATTTCAGAAAGTAGCTAATACGTCATAATGATAGCTTATTGAAATTTAATAGTTAAGTAAGCTTCTACTAAAACAAATTAAGTGTAATTTACGCAGAGCTAACAAAAAATCGTACCGTTATTGTGTTTTAGACAGTAAATTGATTAATTTGATTGCTTAAGGGGATTATAGTCGCCGCACTTCCTCCACTCTCAAAAGTAATTTTACTCTCTCGGAAGAAAATATATCACTTTCCTTGTGGTTTATCACTGATAGTAATAAACATTTATCGAATGTCAATAATATTATCAAAAAAATCTTATAAAAAATAATTCAGCATTTCATTAGTATTGTGGATTACACAATTTTCCTGATTCAATTTAAGAATAAACTATTGGTACGGCCCATCAGATTTTTCCGGTTATTCTGAAAACAAGAATTCCTTGTCAAACGATGTTTAAGGTGAAGCAGAAAATGTTACAACAAACTTTTTTTACTGTAATTAGGGTTACAGTATCCTTGGATGAAACAAAGATGAAACTGATAGAATTGATTGAGTGATTTTTTTCTATATGCAACCAACACTACATATTACGGGTTGCCGTCCTAAAATATCCATCAGTTACCAGAATTTAAAATGTATTTATATATCTAATGAACTACATAACAGTTTTCTTACTTTTAATACAATACTTAAACTGATTTAGAGAGTGATTGCAGATCGGCTATTTGAGTGTTGTAATCTTCAATATTATTTCACTAGTGGTGTAATGAAATTCATAAGATAACTCATTTTGATCTTAAGAATAAATTTATAAATATAGAGATGGAACATTTTATTTAAGTTAATTACAAACATTTACACCAGTGGCGGCTCCTCAGAGGAGGCAGGGGAGGCTGAGCCTCCTCTGTTTTTTGGAGCTGAGCTTCCTCTAATTTTTTTCGATGAAAGAATTTATATTTTTGTAGACATTTGTTATTTTAATATTTTGCTGGATTTCATTTACTTTCATCATATATCAGGTTAAAATGGCGCAAAAATTTATATTTACGCCCTCACAATCATAATTCACATTCACACCACTCCGCGTTTGGTTTCAGCGGCAGAGGCTTGTTAGCCGCTAGCCTCCGCCGAGAATGCATCTTGCTATTGAGACCGTAGACCTTGACGCGTCGTCAGTCTGTATTGCATTGGCTAAAACGTTCACCGGACTGCCGCTCCAAGCCGCTAGCCTCCGGCCAGTTCATCTCTTTTCAGATCAAGTCGTACAGATAACTTTATCTCTTTCTTATTAGTTGGCGCAATCGGGTGTAAGTAGGAAAAACTTTGAGGTGGTTTCGCGAGCTCCCTGTTCAGTGATGGTGATGTTTAGGCTTTACGTAGGTAAGGGTACAAAAGGGGAGACCAACACCATCACTCCCATTAATTGTATTGACAGTTACAATTAGAAATAAAACAGAGCATTTCATGAAAATAATTATAATAAAACTAAATAGTTAACGGCTTCGGTTTTAAGAAACAAATTATACTGTTGGAATTGTGTATTATTTATAAGTGATAAATCTTCCGTTTGGGGTAAAACAGGCTAAAATAATTTACAAAATTTGTCACGAGCTATAGAAAGGCATGAAAAATCATAGGACCACATATTTTCTTCGATTAAATTAGAAATGCTTGGTGAACAAAACAATGCCAATCATTTAGATTCGGCTCATAAAAGGGAGAACTATTACGAGAAAGTTGGTGAAAATTGGGCAATTTTGAAAAGACTAATCGATGCAAAAGTTTATTTATCTATCAACGCACGAGTGTTCTTTTCGTGGGCATGACAAAAAAAATATTCAGATAATGAAAGATATAAGAAGTAGTGCTTTTCAAATTTGAGCCTCCTCTGAAGAAAACTTCACGAGCCGCCACTGATTTACACTTATGTGTTAGGGTTACTATAAATGTTAATAACAATATGTTCGTAACTGGATATATTTATACAAGCTGACGTGGTTAGCTGCGCCGTATTTTTACTCTCTATTTGTAGTGATGTATGTCCATACAACAACTACTGCCATAATTTCTCCTAAAATTTTAGACGCAACTTTTTTAAATTTTCTTTTGATGTATCAATGCACCCTTCCGCCTCTGTATTAGATTTCCAGCTTTCATGGCGTTTTACGGTTAAGACGTCTGCTCCAGAGTCTGCAAACGTGGAAGTAGAAGAGCGCCGAAACAATGCCCAGTGTTTTTTTGGCATACTCCGAAACAGGTTGTATTGGACAAAAACCTTTCCTGTATCCCACAAAAAATCTCCTATGGTTGGTATGCTGAGGACGTAATGCCAAATATTTGTCAATTATTTAAACCATATTGTGATAATCCAAACGTCCCGCGTTAAGTTGGCATGTGAAAAAAAATTGAAAGCCCGCGAAAAATTCAAAAATTCAAAAATTTGGCCGTGGCTGTGATCGTCTAACAAAATGGAACTCTCCATTGTGTTTTAAAAAAATGACGGGATGCGTTTAGATGCAAATGGTGGTCCCTAAGGTTGGAAAATTACCGCTAAATAAAACACAAAATTTATGGAGGAGACAAAACGTTTTATTCCTCCCATGACAAAAAAAAAGAAAAAAAAGTTGCGACTATGTTGCGCAGATTGAAGACCATCTTAGTCCTCAGCTACAAAAAAGAACTTTCCAAACTTTGAATGAAATCAAGTTAAACGTTCTGAATCAATGCACATATTTGAATATAATATAATTTAATAAAAACAAAGCAAAATCTGAATTAAAATAACTGGATGCAAATACACAACTTATTACGGACGTGTGGAGGCAAATTTAAAATTATGGTAGTCAACAAGACAACAAAATTTTAATAAAAAACTATGCAGCGGTAACGGTACCAGAGCGCTATAAGTGTGTGGCGATCGAACTATGTCAATTTCATTCTAGAGCACAATAACACATAGGGGGTGTTGAAGCACGAGCGGAGTTTGGGGCTCCTGGTCGTGGCTGTTCCCCTACCCACGACGGTGATTTTATCTGTATCTTTTGTGCAGATGGCGCGATAAATCCCGCCAACTCGACTAGGAACCGCGCCCTCCGTTTTTGCCACGAATTTCGATCTCATTTAACCTCAATTCCATTTAAATGTTCAATTTCTATGACTCTGCTATTAAACTACAACTGAACAACTGTCAAAGTTTCAAAAAGAGCAATAAACAATATTTAAATT